AGAATATAATATATATATATATATATATATATATATATATATATATATAACTCAAAATTACTTTATAATAACTCAAAATTACTTTTCTTTGAATTCCGGTTAATTTAATTGATAATCAACTTTTCGAATTGTACCTACTTTTGGACAGGCTACAGAGTTATTAATTTTTCTGTTGTCTTGCATAAAAAATTATCAGCTTAAGAAAATAAAATTAAATAAAAAAATTTGCTTTAAGCAATTCGATGATTAAGTTAATCAGAAGTTAATTTAATCAAAGTTGCTTTGAGAATAGTAATATTACAATTATTTTATATTAACAAATTTTAGCGTTAAAATTATTTTGAAAGCCATCAATTAAACTCCGATTAACTTAATTGGTTAATTTTATCAAATCATTTTATTAATACAGAAGTATTAATCTTTTATTGTTTAATACATAGCAAAATTAGAGTCTATACGAATTGTATAGTTAAAAATTTTACTTTATGTAATTCTGCTTGTAATCGATTTGAAACTTAATCGAAGTTACTTCCCTAATGTTTTCAGACGGAAGCACTCGTTGTGAACATCTGTTTCCGGAGATGAAACTTAAAATATCTTTGGACATATAAATGGATGTTTCAATAAACAATGAGAAGAGAGTACAATGCACAAAACTTTATTCATCTTTTGTACATATTTTCTTAACAATTCACTCTTTCTTTCTTTCTCTCTTCTTCTCTTTCTTCAGTTTAATAAATATTCAATTGAGTAATTTTGTAAGATTAATATATCTTTTCAAAGAAACAGTAAATTCACAATTTTTTGTTTTATTTTTTGAGAAGCACATTTTAATTAACAATTTTATCTTTTATTATAATAAGTTTATTAATCCATTAATCCTTTGAGATACCTTTATATCTATCAAGTTTACTTCGAGAAATTCTCATTTATCGTCAATGAACTTTGCGTTCAGATTATGGATAAATTTCATGTAACATAATATTTTTCTATTGATAAACGTAGATTATTTTCTGATAGCATCGTTGTAATACAACCACTCGAATTTCAGCGTCTTTCAATGGCAATGTCAGAAAACGTCGAGAGCTAAACATCATGGTAATTGTATCGCATTTCGCTTCAGAACAGACCGGAACAAACCATGGAAATAAAGCGAAGCACGATGCCACTTCAGACAGATTTATTTTCGTTTGCGTGAGCAGAGGTATACGAGTTACACAAAGCGTACAATTTATCGGCTGCGAACGTTGGTAATTGTCCGCGGCGTAACACTCGACATTGTTATGCGCCAGATATTCGACGAATGTAACTTCTCGGAGTTATGGAATGTGAATATTACATAGATACACAGTCCGTTCCTTTTCTCCTGTTCTTTATTAAACCATAATATAAGAAACGCTACCACTAAGATAATTATTAAATATAGACCTTCCAATTAATACGTAGAAAAAATTGTTAGATGTCTCCACAATGAATTAGAGAATTATTATTTTTTAAATTTAATATATATTAAATTTAATATATAATACAGAGAAAAATTAAAGACAATGAATTAGATAATTAAAATTTTTAATTATATAATTGAAGATGCCACTTAAAGCTCGCAATGCTCATAAATATCATTTGTTCTTGTTTATATAATATTTGATGAACAAAAAGGATGAAATTGTTCTTACCATTAGAGCGTTGCGAGCATCAAGTATCTTAATTGATAATTTTCCATATAATATTAGTAATAAATTATTATTTATAATATTGTAAAAATTATTAATAACGTTGTAGTATAATTAATATTTCATTAACATAACACACATTACATAGAATCAAATTATTAAAATATCTTTAAGAATACTGCTGGTAACTGCAGTGATTCTAAACTATGAAACCTGTCAAGTTTTTGGTTTTATCTGCGCATAAAATATATAAAGAGTTAGCGCAATTTTATTATTTGCTCAATTGTTCATGATAAAACAAAAGAGAGAGAGAAAAAAGTTTTTCATCAAATTCTTTTCTCGTGATATGTTTTTGCTAAAAATAAACAGTCACCGATCGGCAGCGGTGTTTCTGCCAATCAAGATTACGTAGACCACTTATGTTAGACGAAATTTTTGGAAACGACACGCGGATGAGAGTTTTCCCGATTGCCAGGAAATCCGCCGAATACCTCGAGCATCGAAGAGGGAGAGAAACAGAGCATCTTGGGAGTCGAAAATAACTGCAGCGAAGGAAGGTGTCGAGGGGACCGTACATGATTTCGGCGGTTCCGGGTGAGGGAGGGGACCGACGACAGTTGTCTTCTGCTGCTCTCCGGTGCTTTCGCTTTTCCGAGGGTCCAGTGTGTTTCGCCACCCGAGGAGAACCCGCGTGCTCCACGTATAACAGCGCGAAGGTAGGTGCCGCGTTATCTTATATCATGCGTTGAAATCTCCGTCATCGATCGCGTTCCGCGGGAAACGAGGACATGGGAGATCAGGTGAGACAGGAAATCGAGGAAGTAATAAATGAAGGAGATAGAACGAAACGGAGGCGTAAGAAAGAAATCGAAAATGCAGGTGGTGCAGAGGAAAGTGAAACATTCGTAAGAAAATGTGAGAGAAACGTGAGTGGAAAAACAAAAAAAAAACAATTAAATGACGTAGAAATTCAAAAATGGGAAAAATTGAAGATCAAAAAGTAAATAGAAAATCTACAATTATAGTTTGGGAAAAAAATTCAGTGATAAATTATTGCATTCTTTTCCTTCGCATTAGAGATCGATCGATCATACTACCTTTCTTTCTATTATTGGCAACGTAATTGACAAAGTGAATGTCGCACTCAATTATCGCATCTTGGCATTTAACCGCTTAATTATCATGAGAAACTGGGCCAAGCCATCAATTACAATTAACGGGGACAAAAATGATCAGTTCTTCTAATAATGATCTGCAATGAGATTG